TAAACCTGAGTTTATCTGATTTTAAAGAATATATATTACAAATATTATAGCAACATTAAAAGAGAAATATCTAGTAAAGTTCAAAGGCCTAAAGAGTTTTATAGCTGCAGCCCATAAACTATTCTCTTGCAAAGCTAAAAGAAATCCTTTAGTTTTAATAAGGTGACAAGTGTTTGAGAGAGAAACAGGGAAGGCTGGAGGTAAAAGAGCTGTCAAAGTACCAAAGCTATAAGTGCTTGGCCCAGAGCCCTGGAGGCCTAGGACCCAAGGACTCTGGCGGTTAAAAGATTTCTATAAAAAACAGGCTATGCCAAGTTTTTAATCAAGCGACTATTAAGAGTAGGTTTCTCATAAGTTGAGCCCATGTGCCTAGATTCTTCAATATCTTATCTCAATTGTTTCTTCTTTTACAGTTATGTGTAGGTGCAATTATAAAGAACATTTTTTACTAAGGACTTTTATGTGCCAGGTATTGTTCTAAATGCTCTACACTTGATCCTGAAGACAATTTAACAAGGTTAAGTACTTCCATTATCATTTCCATTTTAAGGATGAGAAAATTAAGTCGTGATTAAAATCCAGGCAAATTAATGTCAGAGCCTTTATTATTATTATTACTAGAGGCCCTAGTGCATGAAATTCGTGCACTTGGGTGGGGGTCCCTCAGCCCAGCCTGCCCCCTCTCACAGTCTGGAGGACCTCAAGGGATGTCCTACTGACAGCTTAGGAGCAGGCCTAAGCTGCAGTCTGGCCTCCCTCTGCAGGAGGCGACCGGGCTGATCTGGGGAAGGGGCCACCCCCATCACCCCGCTGCTGCTGCCACTGCTGCCCACCACAGCCGCCAAGGTGTTTTCATCAACACAGACTCCAGTCCCTTCACCATGAAAAAATGACAACTTTCTTTAGGCATTTTTAAGATGTCTCTCATAGGATATGACATTTCTTTCTTTCTTTCTTTTTTTCTATCCTCACCTGAGGATATGTTTCCATTGATTTTTAGAGAGCGTGGAAGAGAGAGGGAAAGACAGAGAGAAACATCAGTGTGAGAGGAACACTTTGATTGGTTGCCTCCTGCATGAGCTCTGACCTGGGCCTTGGCCAGGGAGGAGTCTGCAACCTAGGTACATGCCCTTGATTAGACTTGAACCCAGACTCTGCGGTCTGCAGGCCGAGGCTCTATCCACTGAGCCAAACCGGCTAGGGCAGGATATGACATTTCTTAGCTCCTCCAGCAGCGGACCTTTGTTTTTTCCTCCAGGAGATGGAAAAACCCTAGATCACCTTCTTAGATTCTTATTACCCAAGTTACCACGAACACTGCGAGTGGTGTACTGGGAGCTTAGCCAATGAACGGTCAGAAAAGGTGTTTCCTCTGTAGCTCACGTGCAGAGGCAGGACTGCTGACACGTGGTGGCTGGCAGGCTCCCCTGTCTCCACTCTGGGCCTCCTCAAGCCACCACAGCATCTGTGGCTTGCCTCACCTCCCACGCAGTCCCCTCCTGCCCACCTGCATGCGCAGCCTCCTCCTGAGTGGTTGTGATGTTATGGCATCCTGGACAATTTGCATATTACCTCTTTATATATATAGATGCTGATGTTATAATCTATACTAATAAAAGAATAATATGTTAATTAGGGCAGACATTTTCCGGATGTCCATCCGGACAAAGTCACAGCAGCCTTGAGCCCCAGTGGCTGTGAGGCCCGGTGCTCAGGCCTCGCAGTCACCGTGGCTGGAGTGACAGCAGCAGTAGGGTGATGAGGGCGGCGCCTTCCCCTGATCAGCCCGGTTGCCTCCCACAGAGGGAGGCCAGACTGTGGCTTAGGCCTGCTCCCCGTGGGAAGCGGACCTAAGCCATCAGTAGGACATCCCCTGAGGGCTCCCGGACTGTGAGAGGGAGCAGGCCGGGCTGAGGGACCCCCACCCAGTGCATGAATTTTCATGCACCGGGCCTCTAAGTAAACTAATAACTACAATAAGTAAGTAAGTAGTATTGTTATCTAATGAAAAAGTTTTTTTCCAAAGGGGCATCTTTAAATTGTAACTTAGTAAGTAGATTTAGAAATCAGGAGTGTTTTTTAAGAAATGAACTCTTTAAATTGTAACTTAGTAAGTAGATTTAGAAATCAGGAGTGTTTTTTAAGAAATGAACTCTATATAATGATCTTCTATACTCTACAATCTATGATTTTATGCCACAGAAGTGAAAGATGAAGCATGAGCATTTAAGAAAAGTTGCTAACCGGTTTGGCTCAGTGGATAGAGCATTGGCCTGTGGACCAAGAGGTCCCAGGTTCGATTCCGGTCAAGGGCATGTACCTTGGTTGTGGGCACATCCCCAGTAGGAGGTGTGCAGGAGGCAGCTGGTCGATGTTTCTCTCTCATAGATGTTTCTAACACTCTATCCCTCTCCCTTCCTCTCTGTAAAAGATCAATAAAATATATTTTAAAAAAAAGAAAAGAAAAGTTGCTGATTTATTGAGCTATTTGTGTTTTAACATTCAGATGATTCCTTATTTAAAAAAAACTTTGAAAAAGGAGACAAATGTGCTACTATTTGTAATACCTTAAACCTTAAACAATAAATTTAAAAAAATAAAAGAAACTTTGATATTCTGTAAAAGCATAAAGCATTTTTTTGTTTCTGTTTCATATGATGTGTTCCTTTTTACCTACACTGCTCCAAAGTGATATCATATGAGTTTGCAATATGCAGAGCTTAAAATGAATATAGTATTATTCATTATTTTGTGTGGCACAGGTTGATTCCTTCTGAAATGAAATATATATTAAAGAATTGATGCTATTAATACATATGTTAACAATATAAAAAACTGTATTAGGTGAATAAACATAAGGTATTTTATCTTAATCATATTGACTACAGCAAACTTTTAGTGTCTAGATTTTATACTCAGGTAAGAAAAATCCAAGCACTCTAAGAACTTCAAAGCCTGATAAATATATTTAAGCTAGACATACTAAAATTATTTCAAAAGCAAATTAAAATTTGTCAAAATTAACTTGCATATTTCAATGATTTTATTGACTGGGATCTAATTATTAAGTACCTATATAAAAAGTGAAAGAGTCATTTTGAAGTCATTTACCCAAAAAGTACCATCCGGATCATTGAATTTTTCACATTCAATCAAATATTGAATTTATGTGTACATAACTATAATATCAATGAGTAATAAGCCTTTTTCAAGAATAATAATATATATATAATGAAATGTAACTTAAAAATTGACTTCTGAGGTTCAGTATACTTTAGGGAAGTTAACAAAATCCTATATAATAAAAGGCTTATATGCAAATTGACTGAAGGGTAGAACAACCAGAACAACCAAACAACCAGTCGCTATGACATGCGATGACCACCAGGGGGCGTGTGTGGAACATGGCGGGTGTTGGCTGCAGCGGGATGGTGGAGCAGGTGAGCGGGGCACGAGACCAAGGCAGGGCGCCAGTCGCTGTCATCAGAATGAGCCTCTGGTGGTTACTGAAAATTCTTTGCTCCCACACACGGCAGTCCCGCCCGGTGCTCACACCTGCTGCCAGCGCCAGCCCCGCTGGCATCCACTGCTGGCACCAGCCCACTCGCACCCGCAGCCAGCACCAGAGACGGTGCTCGCACCCGCTGCCAGTGCCTGGCGCCGGTCCCAGTCACTTGGTACCATCAGCAGGTGCAAGCGGCAGCTGCTGGCCCTGATCTCTCCTGAGGGCTTCTCCACCTCCCCCTGCTCCTGAGGGGTGATCAGGGCTGCAGTCACCACTCACACCCACTGATGGTGCCTGCGGCCCATTAATGGAGCTGGCCCTGCTCACATCCGCTGCTGGCGCCGGCCCCAATCACTCTGTGCTGTCAGTGTGTGGGAGTGGCAGTGGGAACAGGGCTGCCAGCAGACAGGGGACCAGGGCCGCGGTGGGAGGGGCTGGGTGGGGGTGCGGACGGTGGGCCGAGACCCATCCCTGTGCCTACAGCAGCCTCACGGCCCACAGTTCCTTTCAAGGTGCATGAATTCGTGCACTGAGCCCCTAGTATGATATAAAAAGAACATCTTTTATACAATAATATTTTTAAATACATTTCAAAATCCTTAGGGTTTACACCCTAAGTGAAGAGTTTGAAAAAATTAGGCTCTATTAGCCCCAAATACCACAAGATATAGATATTTATTTATTTGTTTTTAAATATGTTTTTTATTGATTTTTAGAGAGAGAGAAAGGGAGAGGTAGAAGGGAGAGAGAGATAGAAACATTGATGAGAGAGAAACATCGATTGGCTGCCTCCTGCACACCCCCTAATGGGGATCAACCCAAACATCTGCCTGGACTGGAATCAAACCAGTGACCTCTTGGTGCATGGGTTGATGCTCAACCACTGAGCCACATCGGCCTGGCAAGATATAGATAATTTCAAAGTATTCATATTTTTTCAGCGTTAACCACAGTGCAATTCTTATTGAAACCATGACAAAAGGGAATAGATGTGTGACAGATTTACAAATGCAAAAAGCCATCATTAATAAATATAAACTGTCATCTGTTCAATGAAAATAGTTTTTTAAATCATGTTTTTGACAGTATAAGATTATCTAAATTCTGCTATTTTTTAAAGTTTCCTTTAAAAATTAACTCTACCTACAACATCTATTAAATCAATGGCAGAAGTCCAAGTTACACTACTTTGATATATAAATCCAACTTTTTACAATTAGCCTAAAAAAATTCCTTTTAGAACTAAATGATCAAAGAATTCCATATGATCCATCAGGGACTGGAAGAGTAGATCATTGAGTCACAGAATATAATTAAAATAGCTGTGCTGTTAATTTTAGAAATAATTTAATTTTGTTTATATCAAAAGAAGACATTTAAGGAAAGAAAAAAATTCAAATACACATTTTTGGGCAGTTCTGGTTGCTGGCATTCTACCCCCTATATGTAAAAGAATGCTTGTTGGCATTAGGTTCCATCAATTCATTTGTGATTTCTAAATTAATTCTGAAGGAAACCACAACTTACTTGAAGATCCCTCTGAGTGTCTGTGTGCCTGATTTTTTTTTTCCTTCTTCACAGACAAAGCACTTCCACTGGTCATGGAAAAAAGCTCTAAATCCGTGTCTTCTCTGCTTACAAGTCTTGCCTGGGAGCAATGGGAGAGAATGTATACAATCATGAAACAAAATATGGCATTTTCTGAATGCAGCTCACATTACCCCAAATAAACAAACAGGCTCTGTCAAACAACCTTCTTCAAAATGATACCACAATCCTTTATTGCAGCCCAGGCAGAACAAATGCACTATGTCAAAGCATTTTTCGCAAATAAGAGTCGATTTTAAAATTGAGGTTTGCTATTTGCGTCTGTACAACAAAAGAAAACATTTTAGTATAGTAATTTTGATGAAAATCAATCTTAAAGGCAACTGATGAAACTTTACACAGTTTAACATCACTTATTTACCAAGAACATTATTTAGTTCTTAAGCAAATATTCGAAATGTCATATAGGGTTATGTTCTGCAATATTTATATTTAACACTTTTAAGTATTAGTTTTCTCAGTAAAATTCCCTTAAGTGTCTTTCATCCCATATTTGTATATTATAAAGTCACAAAAGATATCTACCTTCTCATTACAACAATTATTAATATAAAAATACTATGCATTAAGTCTAATTTGGGGATAATGATAGATATATAAAATTTTCAAAATATACTAGGACATAAAAACTAGATAATTTATTGTATCTAAAATTACCATCTGAATTTTTATTACTATTTTGGACTAAGAGTTGAAAAACTTGCTTCTTGCCTATAAAATATTGTTTTACAGAATGTCTAATATCATTAAGTAAAGATTTATCAGGATCCAGGCACGAAGTGGGGGAAAATGAAGTGATGGAAAGCAAACCAGCTTCAAAGTATCTGGAATTTAACCCAAACCACAGGATGTTTGAAATCCTGTGAGTAAGCATTGTCTTTAATGTTTGATGTGAGAAGAATTTAAATAAAGCCATAAAATCATCACTGTGGTTAAAAAGCTGTCCCTATATGATGAGCTAGAAAAACTCATGAAACCAGCATCTAATGATGATCATCCCCTTTTAAATTCAGATGTTTGTCTTTCCCTTTACATTCCCCTTCCCCCTTCTCCCCATCCTTACATGCATGAACTTCTCATTGTTAAGTAAGCCAGTTTGCTATTGCCAAACTCAGAATAGAAACCATTCTATAATGTCAGTCAGGAAAACAATTGGATTGTCAAAAAACCTCAGCAGAAAACTGTTTAAAATGAAATAAGGAACACTTGGCTTCCAATATACACTTGTGATTAGTAAGAAAAGTGTTACAAATTCTTCATTTCAATTACTACACAAAAGCATGTGTCTAATGTTCCCATGAGACTATTTTCACCAACACTAAGACTTAAAAACAAAACAAAACAACAGTCCAAGAATGAGAAGGAAATACCAAAACAACATCACAGTTTCTGTGAGACCAGTTACAAAACAAGGGAAACAATGTTAACTACATAGGTGACCTGCCTGCTGGCTAAAGAGGTGTTAACTATAAGCCTCAAGATTTTAAGATTAGGATTTATTCACTTCAATTTGATGACATGAATTTACTATGCCTAAATAGAAAGTAGAAACCCACCCCTCCCCAAATAAGACAATATCTACATACCAAGAAAATATTTGTGAATACATGCCTTCCAAAAATCTCAGTCATCTGAGCCATTTGCACCCAAAGAGTGCTTCTTCTGAGATAGAAAACCATTAAGGTCAGTTATTAATTCAGTCAGATTATATATAACAGGGATTCAAATTTAGAAGTGAGATTTAGCCAGAATTCATGACTTCACAATGCTGTCACTTGGCAGCTGAAATGCAAACCTAGAAATTTTGTCAAGGGTGCATTAGTGCATCTGACACAGCCACACATGCATGAATGTTCAGATTCTATTTTTGAAAACATTGGTTTTCAAATTGAACATCATTATTTCCATTACTGTTAACAAATAGGAAAATCATAAAATCATAAATATAATACATCTTTTGTTCTATATTATGCAAAATGCACGTACTTAAAAACTGAATGTAACTGATGATGCTTTTAACACTTCTATGAAATATGTATTTAATTTTAAAACACTGTAATATTAAAGTTTGTATGGTTATAACATAGTTTTAAGTTAATGTTAGATAAGAATTCTCTATGTGCAATTCAATAGAAAATATTAAAAACCAATTTTGCAAAATTGTTTTTGGTCTTTGTTTACTGAACAGGTCACATTTGTAGCCCCATCTACAAGGTTAGTAATACTTTTTCTCCATATTTTCACAATAAAATGAGGGGTATAAATTTTGGAACATGACTTTTAAGAATCTGGATTCTGATTCATCTGCAACTCAGGCAACTGAATTAAAAATAGAGACTCATTTATGTAAAAAAGAACAACAACAAAAAAAGGGAGTTTCTTCTTCAGCTTTTTCATAACATATTTTATTAAATATTTATTTTTAAAATTTTGCATTTTTAGAAGTTAAGACATTAGAAGCACACATTAAAATAAATACTTATTTACTTATTACCCCATTCTTTAAAAAAAGAGATAAAATATTATAAAGTTCACTTAAAGGTGTCTTGTAATATGTCTATGTATAATTATTCAAAAAATTAGAGTATTTCTAGATATGGGAATGATTTAAAACCATTTTTATTTTTGGTTGCAGAAAGCTGACTTATGTATATCCCTCCATTCATCATTGCACAAACCCCTCTTCTTGTATAATAAGGCAGAGGCCTTGCTATATAACTTTTGAGGGCATGAAAGGAACTTTGAATGTTTATCCTATATAATAAAAGCCTAATATGCTAAGTGTCTGGTCATCTGGTCAGCCGTTCAACCAATCAAAACATAATATGCTAATGATATGCTAAGGCCGCTCAACTGCTTGCTATGATGTGCACTGACCACCAGGGGGCAGACACTCCAAGCTGTAGGTTAGCTTGCAGCTGGGGTCCAGCCTATTGGGACTGAGCGTGATGGACCAGACACGCCCTGGAGCCCTCCCACAGTCTATGGGCGTGTCTGGTCCATCACGCCCATAAATACTGATCTTGCAAATTTATTCTCAGAAAAATCTATTTTAGAATAAGTCAGTTTTTTCCCATGGATCTTTAAGATGAAATCTCTTTGCAAATGCATCAGGGTAAAACTGACTGCAAATGACAAAACTTAAAATGACAGTTATAGATCTGATTAAAATGCAATTGACAAAGAACTCTGCTTTTCTGTAAGATGTAACATCCCAAAATAACAATTTGAATGTAAAAGTGTGCCATATTTTCCCCCCTCCATGCCCCCCTCCTGCATGCTGCTCCGGCACAGGAAGTGAGTTCTGATGTCAGGGAGGAAGCCCTTACTAGCCAGCAATGAACAAAACCCCTGCAGGACCACAATGACCAAATCCCATGCAGGAGCAGCTTAGCGATGTAGCGGTCCTTGTTGATTGCCCTGGACTTCTTGCCTTTGCCACTCTTGGGGACCTCGGTCCACTTCTCCTTCACATTCTCCAGAGCCATGTTGCAGTGCCTGTCAATGGGCTTCACATGGCCCAGAAGCTTTTTGTTGTTGTGACAGTTGATATATATTCTTGACAAAAATGCATGAGCTTGGAGAGTTGGCCTGTGTTAAACTCCTCCTCCTCCCACTTCTGCAGCTCTGCCAGGGTCATCTCACTCTTGGGCTTGTGGAGGAGGCTCCTGGTGGTGGTGTCTGCGCTCTTCGAACATTCCTGTCTCCTCCACTTTGCTTCTGTCTCTGAAGAAAGCTGTAGATAATCTTTCAATTCACTAATTCTCTCTTTCATGGTGTCCAGTCCAGAGTTTATTTCACTGATAATATTTTCTTATTTCTAAAATTTTTAATAGACTCATTTGCATATCCATCTATCCTCTAATTAAATTTTGATTACTTTTGTTTTCAAACTTTCTGTCTTTTTATTATAGATGTTATTCTTATTTTTGTCTTTGAGGATCTTATAATAGAGGCCATTGAAATATTTTTTGAAAGTTCTCTTAATAGCCTTGTCCTAGTTGTGAAATTATCTGTGTCCAGTTCCCCAACAAAAATAGTGTGCTTTCATTCCCCAACACTCTGCAAAATTTCTACTCTGGTCCTTCAATTCACCTAGTATTTCTTTGTCATAAGTCCTTCCTTGATTTCTTCCCTGTCTCAACTCATACACACATAAAATATGTATTTCTGTTCTACTACTATTTTCCTTTTTTTGTATCCAGCTATACCTCTTCAAAATTGAAAAAATGCACTTGTAAGTGCTATGTATTTGTCATATATTTGTATGTTAGTAATCCATGCAATCTGTTTTCATTCACTTTTAGAAGTATAACAATTAAATGTGATATCACTTCCTTTGTCCTGGCATTTTTATTTTTCCCATTCTTGCTCCAAAGTGGCCACGTAAGAATATGTGAGAAAGTGCTAGTCAGTAATATGCATGCTGTTAACAAACTGAAGTGCCAATTTTCCAGTGACAATCTTCACGCCACTCTACCAGAGGGGTTAAAATGCAAGAAAATATTTGCAGTGATTATTTCAAATTTAAATTCTATAAATATTTTCATAAACATTAATTTTAGCTAATGGCTATCCAAAATGTGCTGCTCTTTCAGGAAAACTCCTTAAGTTAGCTGTTCATGATGAATAGTATTCTGGATAATACTAGTTTCTACTAGAAACTACATTACCTTCTTGTACTAAATTCAACAAGGCAGGCTAAATTGTAATCAGTTTTCTTTGTGAATGTAGAATCTGAGCAAGGAGTATTAGTTGATTGATATAAATGGATGGCAACATAAAGTTAGGGTCACCTGATGCATCCATTTTTACCTGCCAAGGAGGCCACATACTTCTGTCATTGTTTAGGGTACCCTCTTCACTGTAAATTTCTGAAAAATACTGAAAATTTCTTATTTTGTGGGATCCACTTCTCTAAACTTCATATTGGCCATTCTCTTTTTGTTTACATAGGCTTCCTTCCAATAACATATAGTACAATTGACTTTAGCAATGCACATACAGTTACACTACCTAGAACCTACACTCTACTCAGTATAGAGTAGAGTTTAGAACTTGATTGTTCCTAAATTTCTGATAATTTATACTTTACTAGAGGCCTGGTGCACAAAAATTTGTGCACTCAGCGGGGGGGGGGGGGGGGGCCCTCAACCCGGCCTGGGCCCATTTGCAGTCCAGGACCCCTTGGGGGATGTTCACCTGTTGATTTAGGCCCACTCCCTGGGGGATCAGGCCTAAGCTTGCAGTCAGACATCCTTCTGGCAGCCAGGGAGCCCTTGGGGGATGTCTGACTAAAGGCTTAGGCCCCCAAGGGATCGGGCCTAAACCATTAGTTGGACATTCTTAGTGCTGCCATGGTGGGAGAGGATCCTGCCACCACCTCGGCGCTGACCAGCCATGAGCCAGCTTCTGGCTGAGTGGCACTCCCCATATGGAAGTGCACTGACCACCAGGGGGCAGCTCCTGCATTGAGCGTCTGCTTCCTGGTGGCCAGTGTGCATCATAGCAACCAGCCATTCTGCCGTTCAGTCAATTTGCATATTAGCCTTTTATTATTATTACTAGAGGCCCGGTGCACAAAAATTTGTGCACTCAGGGGTGCGGGGGGGTCCCTCAGCCCATCCTGTGCCCTTTGCAGTCTGGGACCCCTCGGGAGATAACGACCTGCTGGCTTAGGCCTGCTCCCAGGTGGCAGAGGGCAGGCCCAATCCCTAGGTGCAGCCCCTGGTCGGGCTCAGAGCAGGGCCGATTGGAGAGTTGGGGCGCCGCCCTGTCATGCACAGAGCAGGGCGGATCAGGAGGTTGCGATGCCACCCCTAGTCACGCTCAGGGTACAGCCGATTGGGGGGTTGGGGCACCGCTCCCTGTCACACTCAAGGCAGGGTCGATAGGGAAGTTGTGGTGTCACCCCCTGTCACCCACAAAGCAGGGCCGATCAGGGGGTTTGGGGCTCCGTACCCTGTCACACACAGAGCAGGGCCGATCAGGGGGTTGAGGAACTCCCCCCTGTCACGCACAGAGCGGGGCCGATCAGGGGGGTTGAGGAGCTCCCCCCTGTCACTCACAGAGTAGGGCCGATAGGGAGTTGGGGGCACCGCCCCCTGTCACACACAGAGCAGGGCAGATCAGGGGGTTGGGGCGCCACCCTCTATTACCCACAGAGCAGGGGCCGATCAGGGGTTGGGGCGCTGCACCCTGTCACACACAGAGCAGGGGCCGATCAGGGGGTTAGGGCGCTGCACCCTGTCACAACACAGAGCTGCAGGGCAAATC